ATATGTCTATATGTCTATATGTCTATATGTCTATATGTCTATATGTCTATATGTCATCTAATTAGTAAAACTCTTCAATTACCTATAAAAATAATGACCGCCGTTAAATGACAAGCATAGGCTGCAGGAAAAACCATGTAGATGCCTTTCTGATAGGCTTCAGATATATGCTTGTTGTTAAGACGGAGGAAACTATTGAAAATATATTGCATACGCTATAAACTATCTTAAGTTTTAAACAGTAAATCATTTACTATAGCTACGCTAACAAGAGCTATAGCCACAAATTCGAGCATCTTGAAATATGTATCTTATGGATTACTTCCACCGCGCACGCATTTTCCATGCACAAAAGAAAATGCACAGCCTGCGGCTAAATTGTTCTTGCAAACTTGCGTCAGTTTTTGTACATCAATTTATAAAAATATACAAATATATATATGTATAATATATGTGTAATATATGTGTATGAAAGGAAGCTGGAGAATTTGTAAGAGGAGATGCTATGTTAGTCGAGCATGCCCGCCAACGGGTGGATGGGGTACCCTAGCATATTTTCATTTTGTATTTGTCGAGCTCGGGCGAGGTATTACACAATAATCAACGCCTCATGTTGCAGCTCGAGGGGGCGAGGCCTTGTTTTCCAGGGTCAGGTCGTATAGTTATTGCGAAGCCCCCAGTGCCCCGCGGGAGCAACAAATTGTGTAGCTACATGCTACAAGTATTTTTTGTGTATATTTTCTTTTTTTTCGTTTTTTTTTTTGTTTTTGAGCACGCCATTTTTGCATGCATTCCGTTATGTGGAAACTTTTGATGCATCAGCTTTTCCCGGTTTTTAGTAGTTGCATGAAAATGAAAACTCAACACTTGCTGTTCATGTTCGCAGTGCTAACAATTATTCGAGATGTGCGCTCCAGTTGTTATCTTTTTTATTCTGATTCTTTTTACGTGTTTTAGATAAATGAAGATATATATATATTTGTTTGTATTTTATTTATTTATATTTAGCTAGGGCTTTTGATTAACTTTAATGTGTGCTGCTTGCTTAAAGTCAATGGCTTGAAAATCTATATTTTTAATGTTTAAACTTTGCAATTAAGTGAACTTTTTAGTTTGCTTAAGTCTGCTTTATGATGGTTCATAAATAAAAAATAACCAATTTTTTTTATAGTTTTCTTTGTTTTGCTATGCTTTGCACTCAGTTGCGTCTTAAGGTAAAATTGAGCTTTTTGTAGAACTTTATTTATATCTTGTTGAAACTTTTATAAGGGCGCTTTATGTGGCTAAAATAATTGTATATATAGGAAGGACTAGATATGGAATAGAATATATTTATATAAAGATTAAATGCTCTTTAATGGTTCAGAAAAGCGTCCATATTAATTTATGGAATGTATTTTATATTATTTAGATTTATTCATTATTTAATATTTAATATACATATGTATATATATATAAATATCAAACATCTATAATATATTTATTTGCTTAATCTTGTGTACAACAGGTAAATTTGGCACCTGTCTTATATGTACATATTATTCATATCAAACTTGATCCTCACACATTCCCAAAGTATTGATAAAAGGATTTGTATTTGCTGCATTGAAGTGCCCTTCATAGGTATATGTAAGTAAGTATGTATGTACAATACTAATTGTAAGAGGACCCTCAAGTGTCAGCTCGGAAATGATGAAGGGCTGTGTGGGAAGAGCTCACTTTTTGGAGCAGATGCTCAGCGCTAAGGCGGCACTCAGAGCGCATTAAGCCAAATGCGAGCTGAGACCTTGGCGAGTCATTTGGAGACATGGAGCGGTGCGTCTAACCAATGCAGGCGGGGCGCATTAGGCAGACGCACGCAGACATGTGGTGAGCGTTTAAAGAGGCTCAACAAAGTTTTCATTAGTGGCGTCAGCTTTTGGCGTTGGCGGTGACGTTGGCGTTGGCGTTGGCAGAGCGCGCAATGCAAATGTGACGCGTGGCAAATGAAAAGAGAATACGAGACACATACACACGAATATATATACATAGAGATAGTGTGTGTGAGAGTGAGGTAGAACAGCGGGGGCTGTGAGTCAAAAACCAGGCAAACATTTGCAAAAACCCCAAACTCGACGGCTGGCACTTGAAATGTGCTTAATGCCACTTTACGAGTGACTTTCGCTGAGTGCGAGTGCCACTTTGCGTGCAGTTCTCGCTCTGTCTCTCTGTCTCTCTGCTCTCTCTTTGTGTCTCTCTGTTCGCTGCCTTCGCTCTGGTGGCTAGACGCGTTAAAAATATGCTTCTTCATAAGTTCGCACTCCTCGCTCACTCGCTCCTCTGTTCTGTGGGCTCTGTACACAAGGGTAAACGAAATGACAGCTGACATATGTAAGTGTCTGTCCGACTGTATGTATGTGTGTCTCTGTCTATCATGCTTTTTAGCTTTTGTGTGTGTGTATGTGTGTGTGTTTGTGTGTGTGTGTTTGTGAGTATGGGGAGGTAGCACGTTTTCGGCGCTCAAAATTAACGGATAAACTACACAAACACACACAGACCCAGGCACGGGCACGCACACACAGACAAACACACTCAGCACTTTTGTGTGTAGTTAAATCACTTGGCAACAATAAAGTGGCATTTGCTTTATGAAATAATTTCAACACACACACGCACATACTCATGCATAGACACACAGACACCTGTCATTTGTTTTGGTTAGCTTTTCGTCTATTTAGCTGTTTGTGCTTTTACTTTTCTGCGGCTCTGTGTGCATGAAATTTGTTATGAAAATTAAATATTTAACTTATTAGTAGCTGCAGTTGTGAGTGTGCCTGTGTGTGTGCAAGCGTGTAGATGTTACAACTTCCACGAGACAGAGCCAATAAAGGAGTTTCAGTGTTGCCTAACGTATTTCGTTAAATTTTAAATTAGAATGCAGGAAAGTTTTTTAAATAGACTCAGAAACAGCTATTGCAAACCCAATTTATTGGGTTATGAAAAAGTAGTGTTGAAAATTTTTAATGTAATAGTGTTAATAATAAATAGTTTTGTATAATTTAAAATTTGTATACACATATATCAACATCTTATAAGAAAATTGATTCGAACAGAGTTCTCTGTCTGAAAATACCTATATTTTTTCAGTGTTGTATAACGTGCATACATGAAATCATACGCCTTGCACTGAAGTAAACAATTTCCCAATTATCCTGAAAGGGCCAAACAAGTTTCGTTTTCACAATTGTCGATTTGCCAGTTATTAGTACACCCCAGAAAAACGTGTGTTTGTCTGGGCGATTCGGTACTATCTCTCTGTATTGTTCCTAATTGTGCTCAATTTGTCAGACATTAATTTAAAATGCTCCCATTCCCCTCAGTTTTGCGTGTTCTAGTCCCAAAGTCCCAGTCAGAGGAAAAAACATTATTTTTTCGTAGAATTACCATACCGCAAGTATTTTCATAAATAGTTGAATAGGCATACTTTACAGCTGGCCCATTTAGTTCTGAATTCTCGACTGCTCTGGGCATGGCAGTGTGGCCAGGGAAACGGGGAAGAGTACAGACACTTTTGTGGCTTTTTGTTGCAGAACAAAATTTTGCTGCTGTGCTATTTTGTGTGATTTCACCTGAAATTTGAGGCTAACTGGCAGGAGAGAGATTGTTAACTATTCTGTTGCAAAAGCGATTGGCATTTGATGATGCTACATGAGATATCTGCCCTATGAAACAGACAGCTTGTTCGGCCTAGTTGCCAAAAGTTTCTACCTGTCAGTGAAATGAGTTGAAGGTAATTTTTATAAATTATGCTGTATAAATAGTTGAACTTGTACGTGTTTAAAGTTTTGAAGTTGTTATCTGAATTTGAAACATAGGCAGACATGTAAACTTTTTGATTGATTTGCTGCTAATTGGATAGTTTTTTGCCTTCACTACAAATTGGTTTTGGTAATCAAATTAACTGTAAATCTATTCATATAAATTCGAACACACTTTAATTAAGCTGTATTTACTTGAGGCTATAATTATATTATTTTTTATTTATTTAATGAGTTTTACTATTCTATTGCAATTTTCTCACATAGTTGCATGTGTCATATTTCTATCAGAATTTCATGAAATCCCTTGCATGGATTGTTAGTTGAGCATAATTCTCCTAATGTAACTCTAGTTCGATGCCATCATTAAAATAATTGTAAATCTATTCATATAAATTCGAGCACACTTTAATTAAGCTGTATTTACTTGAGGCTATAATTATATTATTTTTTATTT